AAGGAAGGAAGGAAGGAAGGAAGGAAGGAAGGAAGGAAGGAAGGAAGGAAGGAAGGAAGGAAGGAGAAAAAGGGAAGGAGGGAGGGAAGAAGGGAGGGAGGGAAGGAGAGCAAGGGTTATACACACCTTCAGGTGATGCTAAGACCCCCGGGACCTTCTGCCCACTGGACACAGGGATATTCTCAGGCAGCAGGTGGTAAATGGCCTCCAAAGGTGGGTGGAGCTGCAGGGTGCACTGCAGGTGAGTGTTTTCCATCACTGTCAGGTACTTGTTCTCTAAAGGAGCCCAAAGGGCAGGCAGACGGATAAAAAGGGAGGAAGGAAGAAAGAAAAAACAAGGAAGGTAGAAAATGGAAAGAGGAGGGAGGGAGGGAGGAAAGGAGAAAGAGAAGGAAGAAAAGGGAGAGAATGTGACATAGTAAATTAGGACATAGCATCAGGACAATTCAAATTACCTGGAATCTTGAATTCAGCCATTAGGATTTCCAGGAGTTTGTCCCTTCTTGTCCCCCTCTCCTCCCCCACTTTTCCAACCCCGCAAGGCTGTTTTTCTCTGGATTTCCCCGGTGCCAAGACGCAGTGCTAGGCGCACCACGACTTACTCTCTATGGGCTCCTGGAGCAGTGGGTGCAGGAGAGCACGGGGGGTCCCTTGGTACAAAGGGAGCCTGCAGAGAGAAGGGGAGGCATCGGGTCAGAGGGAAATGGGGGGGGGGGGGTTGTTGTTTAAAAAAGGGGAGTTTTTGAAAGCTGAATTGGTGATTGGCCCAAAATTACCCAGCAGGATTTTCTACCTTAAAGCAGGACTAGAACTCCCAGACTCCTGGCAGTTGGCCCAAGTCATCCAGCTGGCTTTCCTGACTAAGGCGGGACTAGAACTCCCAGTCTCCTGGTGATTGGCCCAAAATCACCCCACCATCCCTCCTGTCTAAGGCAAAACTAGAACTCACCGTCTCCTAGTTTCTAGTTCAGCACTTTTCTGTTCACCCGCCAGGTATGCCCTTCCCAGCCCCCGCCAAGGTGTTAAATCCCACCCCACCTGGCCGAAGGGCGCCTGGTTTTAGAGAACCGTCAAGTGGCTCCTTGTCACCGACGCCAGCCACGTTTCACCCCGAAGCTGACCAACGTACCCTTTGCCCGCCGAGTTCCAAATCACCGGCTCAGATTTGCCGTTCAACAACCGAAGGAGCCCGAAGCCGCAGCCGAGTTCCTGGGGTGCCGCATCCTGTCCCTTTGCGGTCGCCACGATTTCTAGCACCATCAAGACGCCGGGGTGACCCGAAGAGGTGAGGAAATACACCGTCTAGGAGGGCAGGGGAGAGAGAGGGTGAAGGAGAGCCGCCCGTTTGGCTTCCCTGCTCTCCGTTTTTCCCACTCAGGGCTGCTTGTCCGTCCACCAGACGGTCTCCGTGACAGGAGATTAATCATCCTGGCTGACAGCTTCTGCAGGCCTGCCGCTCTCTCTCGCCTGGGGCGCAGAAGCTGGGATTGCGAGGAGGTTTGTGATCTCTCTCGTCGTTTCAGCTCGGCTGAACTTCCCTCCCAGCAGGGTAACAGATGCCAACGCAACACACGGAAGGTGCCCAGACTTCAAAGGGCCGGTCAGGCTGGCTCTTCTCAGCCAGGGAGCGGAAATCCAAACCACCCCTGCGAGGAGAGCCTCCACCCCGCCTGATCATTTCGAGCATTTGCAGGGAGGAAAAGCTTGAAACCCCCCGAATTGCAAAATCCTTGAGTTACGACCACAAAGGAGCCCAAACTTTCTGTTGCTAAGTGAGACATTCGTTAAGTGAGTTTTTACGATCTAAGTTAATCACTGCAGTTGTTCGATTAGTCACATGGTTGTTAAGTGAATCTGGCTTCCCCATTTCTGCTTGTCAGAAAGTTGCAAAAGTGACTCTGGGACGCTGCAACGGTGGCAAGTATGAGTCAGTTGCCTGGCATCTGAACTCTAAGCATGTGACTGCGGGGATGCCGCAACAGTCATAAGTGTGAAAAAATGGTTAATGATTTTTTAAAAACATTAATCCTTAAATGAGAGGGATCGCCATGTTGGTAGGGGGCTCTCTGGAAAGTCATTTAGATTAAAATAAAGACTGAACTGCTGTTTTCTTGAAAAATTAGAATTGAAAAGCCCCCAACTGGATCGTTGTAGGGAGGATGCAAGGAGGCGATTCGTGGAACCACAGCACCCTCTGCTGCTGGTTTTAGACCAGCTCTTCTGGGACCGAGAGCCTGCCTTCGTCCACTGAACCGGGAGGGCTATTGGGAGGCACGCAGAGAGAAAAAATTCCAATTCTGGAGAAATTTTTTTTTCTTTTCTAAGAATGATATTCTGCAGGGAAGATGATAACTTCAGTGGAGGGAAGGAGATTTGACTTACTATATTTATTTTGAAATTTATATCCAGCCCACTTAGCCAAGAGGTGACTCTCAGCTGACTTGCGATACATAAAACCCACCCAATGAAAACAATAAAATCTTACAGTCAGACACGTGAGCACTTAACTACGGTTTTTGGCAAAATTATCCAACAGTGAATGGGTGAAAACGGCCACAGCATTCGTTTTACAGCCATTGTGTTCACTTAATGACGGCCGCAAGAAAAGCTATAAACTCAGATCCAGCCCATTTTATGATCGTCACGACTTATGTCCATAATTGAGAGACTCCATGATGGTCGTATGTCAAGGACCACCTGTCGTTCAGTTTTTCCCCACCTGAAAATTGCCAGGGTTGAGAAAAGCTAGTCTAGAGTCTCTGTTAAACTTGGGGGGTCTCCCCATAATTTTTTGGGGGGACAGACCCATCAGCCCCTACCTCATTGAAGACCACGGAGGGTGGCTGCCCCGGGACGGATGTCAGAGGCCTTGGGGGGCTTTTCCAGGTCCTGCCGAAGAACTGGCGGTAGGCCACGTCGAAGAGCGAAAGGCGCAGCTGGAATGCCACCTCTGCCATGTTCTCCAGAACTTTCTGCAGAAAGAGGTGAAGGACCGGGGGGGGGGGGGAGTTAGCACCACCCAGGAGGGGTGGGCAACTGGGATCCAGAGGAAGGAGATCTCAGATAAATAAGCAATTATCAAATTGTGGAGAGAAAAAATAGCTGACAGAGGAAGGAATTGTTGATCGAGTCTTGTTTTTTAGGCCATCTATGGTAGGATTTGGGTTGTCCTGGAGGTCATCCAGGTAGATGTTTGTCAAGCTTGGTCACTTTGAGAGGGATGGACTTCAACTCCAGGGTTAGGAAGGAAGGAAGGAAGGAAGGAAGGAAGGAAGGAAGGAAGGAAGGAAGGAAGGAAGGAAGGAAACCATTTGTTCTAACATGGTTTAGGGTCTCCTGCTTGAGCAGGGAGTTGGACTAGAAGACCTCCATGGTCCCTTCCAGCTCTATTCTGATTGATTGATTGATTGATTGATTGATCTTACTTGTTTCAAGGCATTCCCGTGTACACTCTTTAAGACGCACTGAAATGGCACCGATTGCTGGAGCGGCAAATTTGGCCTCCGGACGTTACGCGGAGGCACGGTTAGGCTTTGGCGGAAGATCTTGTGCCATTCCCCCATCCTGGGGACCAGGTGTGGTGGCACCGTGTGTTTCACTTCGGCTTCTGGGCTTCCTGCCTTCAAACACAAAGCGATTGTTTTCTGAGTGGGGAAGAATTTCTTTTTGCTTCATTCCTTACACAAAAGAGTAGGCTTGGCTTAGAAAAATCTGGACCGTTGTCAGGATGGTCACAAACCTCTACACCTGAAGGCTCTCCTCCACCTTGGCAGCTTGAAAATGTGTGGACTTCAACTCCCAGAATTCTCCAGGCAGCCATGCTGGTTTTTTTTTCTCCTCATTCCCCCCACCCCACCGCCCCCCCGAGGGGTTGCAGAGGAAGGATGAGAAGAGAGTAAGCGGGCCACCATGAAAATACACCTCAAAAGAAATGCATTCGTATCAGGGAACTGAAGTCTGCAAATCTTCAAACTTCTAAGATGGAGAAACACTGAGCCAGAAGTATAAAAAGTGATCGTCTTTCAAGTCAAAAACTCTTAAATGGGTAGAGAGGTGTGGTGTCTGAAGGACAAGTCTTCCTACGCCAGGAGCTGTCGAATTTCAGCCCTTAATTTAGCTGCTCGTTTGACACTTTTTTGCAAGGTCACAATGATTCAGAGGTTTCACAGGGAGAGCTGAAGGGAAGCTGACTACATCAGAAAAGATTCCAAAAAGAAAAAAGGAATAAAAGCAATCAGCAAAATAAAAAAAAATAAAAAAAAACTCGAAATATTAACCCTAATCCGTAGGCAATTGTTTTGCATTCAGACTTTTTAATTTCTGCCTGGGGATGAGTCACCATAACGGGCACGGAACTCCCTCCGTGCAGTAAATTACACCATTTCATAAACATTTTAAATTAATCAAGCCTCCAGAAGTTGTGGATGCTCCATCACTGAAGGTTTTTAAGAAGAGATTGGACAACCACATGTATCTGCAATATAGTATAGGGTTTTCCTAATCGAGCAGAGGGTCAGACTAGAAGACCTCCAAGGTCCCTTCCAACTCATGTTGTTTTGTTTCCTTGTCCTCTTTGCTAGAAAAGGGATAAGGAAGTGAACCAGCCCCTCGCACACGGATGTGATCCGAGGGCTCTGTCAGGAGAGGCGCACAGCTTGCAGGATGCAGTTCAGGAGCCGGGTTCCATCGGTTCGGACCGGTTTGGACGAACTAGTTGTTAAATTTGCATCTGGTTCGCTGAACCGGTATTTGAACTGACCGGCTGGCCCCCCCACCCAGCTCCTCCCAGGAGTCTCCACATGGCTTGTTTTTCCAGCTAAAAGTTCCTTGCCAGAAAAATCAAAAAGTTCTCACCTCTTGACCCAACTTGCCACCTAATCAGCGAGATTGCTCCTTTCACAGTCGAATCGCTGCCCCTAGGAAACACAATGGCAATGATCAAAAAGCCCTCACAACTGGGAGCTCGGGAAGCGGCAAAACGTCTAATTTCTCCTGCTAACCTGGACGCTAAGCAGCTTAAGGCTACAGAGACCCTGTGGTGGTGGGGGTGGGGGTTTCCCTCCCCCTTGGAAGCATTAAATCCACACGTTTCATGTCCCAAGCGCTGCACTTAGTGCTGGAAAAGGAGAGAGAGAACATATTGTGTGATTCGTCCTCCCACTAAGAGCCACAGATATATTGTCGCGTTTGCTGATTTTTTTTAAACAGCAGCTGCACATCGCCCCAGTACAAAAAAGAACAACAGAATTAATCAAGCATTTTAACACACGGCGTAAACAGACAGGCGAAGCAAGGCTAGCTTGAAAAATTGTTATTTTTGCGTGCTTTTAGGCTAGTAAAATGCTCCGCTGAGTAAAAACACTCGGTACAAAATGTTCTTAGAAGCGAGCTAGGTCTCTGTTGGGTTTTTTTCCCCTCTCCTACATAAGGGCACATAAGCACAGATGCAGAATAAAGGAGGGGCTATAAAATATAATTTAACTGGATTTGGGGCCCAAATGTGAAGAGGAATTTAGCCAGGTTAGGAAACCAGCAATCCCAGGAAGGGCAGCCAACCAATTTTAAATTGGCAAATGGTCCTGGGGATTTATATGTCGGCCTGTCCAAGGTAAACTGGAGTCCACTTAAGCTTTACGTGACCCCAAAATCTTGTTTCTCCATTCAGGAGTCAGAAAATGATGTCGCAGGTAAGCAACAAGGTCTTTTCTTTGGAGTAAGCCTGCAAATGTTCTATCTGAACACACAATCTGTTCACACTACGGGTAAATATCAATGAAAATGTAAATTTTGTCTATATAAACACACAGAGATACCGAGAGACTGTGCATTGTACAAGATACAGATACTGAGAAAAATATTATATATAAAAACACCATATAAAAGGGAAAAAGAATAAAGAATGTATACAACACATTATATAAATGCAGTATAAAACATGTGCATACAGTACATATACATGCAACATTGTACACACACATATATATACATATACATACATACACATGTGCAACATGATATATATGCAATATAATTATACACTGAATGCATATATGTATCACATACAATGTATATATGCATTATATGCAGAACTATATGCATTAAGCATGCACATTTATGCAATATTCATATACATGCAATATAAAAATATAGGCAATATATTAACATATACACGTGTAATAAACACAAAGACAATAGAAAATAGACACATGCATGCACACACACACACACACACAGAGTGCATGTTTTCTATTGTGCTTATTACGTGTTTATGCACATATATATATGCAAAGTATGTATACATGCAACATATACTCAACATATCCTCGTATATAATATGCAAATATATATTTGCAAAAGGAGGTGCCTGCTACTGTCACTGTCCGATTGTTTCTTTTTATTTTTCTTATAAGTATCCATTCCATGTATTCATAACTGTGTTTATACTTATACCTGTTATCTTATAATCGCTTGACAAATAAATAAAAAATATATGTTCAATATATAAACACTTAAGGAGAAAAATGAATGCACCCTCCCCCTAAAACAAAGCTGTCCCCCTTTTCCACCAAGCATGATGTGGGGGACCCCTCCCCAAGGAACGCTTTTCCCATATCACCCTTGTGCTAAACCACACTGTAACCTGGCTAACCCCCACCCTGGTCCTCCCCAGGAAAGTTGAGCCTTGGCCAACCTTCCTCAGGGACCCCCCCCCCAAATGAAACCCACGAGGGGCTCCCCTTTTTTTCACCCTTATGGACCTAGGGCTCCCCCAAACATAGCCTCACGTGCTTGGAATCCTTTTTTAACACCATTTTTGGGGAGCTTTTATGAGCCACCTAATTTCACTCCCCCCAACTCAGCAACCCCAATTTTGGGGTCCTGGGAGGGGAGGAAAAGCACTCTGTAAATGTTCAGAAGCACCCTTGTCACCTTTTCTCTCAGGTCTGAGGGGGCTTCCTAGGAGGAAGTGGGGGGAGGGGAGGCAGGAAACGGGGTTCTAGAGCCACCTGGAACAACGGGACAAACGGGGCCCCCAACTCCCGCCGGCCAATCAGCGTGCTCTCCCAAAGGGTAGGGAGCCAAGCGCGGCAGCCTCCAGCCTCCAGAGGGCGGAGCCGGAGCCGGAGGGAGCCAATCAGCGGCCGCCATTCTTCCTTTTCCCCCCAATGGGGAGAGCCGAAAAAGAGCGCCCCGATTCTCCAGTCCCGCCCCTCACCTCACCTGCCGCTCCCGCGCTCCCCTATTTTTTCGGCCTGAGGCCGCCATCTTACTCAGAACGTACCAACTGCATCGAAGGGGAGGCGTCACGAAAACTCACTCCTCAGTTAAAGCCTCCCTGGCAAAACAGGCTCTTTTGAAGCTCTCTATACTTTCCTCTATATCTAAGCGTCTTCTCTCTCCTCCCTTTGCTGTTTTATTCCTTCCCTCCATCACGACACAACTTTATATCTTCCTCTCCCCCCCCAATTATGGTGAATGGTTCGATCCAGCAGGCGGGCCCGCTCTCTCGTTGTTGTAGCAAAGCGGTTGCCAGGACGACGAATAAAAGACCCGCGTGAGGGGAAGACACGTGTTTGCGTTGGGTTTGCTTTCTGGTCGTGTAAATGGCTTTCGAGCGTGTCCAGATGAATTTATGCTGCCTCCTCTTTCAGGAAACCCGAGATGATAACTCATTTTTACTACAGCACAACAATCCTGCAAGGTAGGGCCATAGCGAGCTTGCAAACCTTAAATTGTGGCTTGAAAATGTTGGGTTAGCCCAGCCAATGGTCCTTTTATGCCGTGGATCTTAGTTTAGCAGAATTCTAGACCTGTTTTTTGCAACCTAACAATTTTAAGGTGGGGGGACGTCAACTCCCAGGAATCCACCCATCTTAAAAGCAACAAGAGATTGAAAATACGGGTAGTCCCCGACTTACGACCACAATCGAGCCCAAAATCTGGGTTGCTAAGTGAGAAATTTGTTCAGTTAGTCATCCCCCGTTTTACGACTTTTGTTGCCACATTTGTTAAGTGAGTCACTGCAGTTAAATTAGCAACCTGGTTGTTAAAGTGAACCTGGATCTGAATCTGGAATCTTGACTTGGCTCATCAGAAGGTCGTAAAAGGGGATCACGTGACCCACGGACCCTGCGACCGTCATAAATATGAACCACTTGCCAAGCATCTGAATTTTGATCGCGTGATCACGGGGATACTACAATGGTCATAAGTGCGAAAAATGGCCGCAAGTCACTCTTCAGTGCCATTGTAACTTCAAACAGTCACTAAACGAATTGTTGTAAGTCGAGAACTATGGAAATCGCACTCCCAGGAATGGCGGCCCCTAATTTAATAGCTATTCGACTTGGCTAACCAGGGCTACTAACCTCGATGTCTGTTTATCAATGTTACTTCACTTGAGACTTTCAAGAAGAGACTCCCATCTGTCAGAAATGGTGTAGGGTCTCCTGCATGGGCAGGGGGTTGGATTAGATGACCTACAAGGTCCCTTCCAACTGGTTGTCTTTTTTCTGCTATCTGTTTATCATCAGGTATCAAAGATGGCTTGTTTTCATAGCTGGTAAAGAAGGCCATGGTCCCCTCAGTAACTGACCTCAGTTGCCCCTTCCTCAATTTGAACATTCCTTCTTTAAGTCTCCTCCTCCACGGCTTACTGAACAAACTGATGAACTGCACTCATAACAGCATCTATTAATCCAAACAAACCACGTTACCAGGGTTTAGTTATTAATAATGTTCAGCTTGTGTTGTTCTCACCCATCCAAAATCTTAAATGAGAATTTTACTCTGGCAAAATTATGGTGGTTGTGATGGTGTAATGCTGGTAGACTTTGCACAATCAGCTTCATCATGAAGGATGAAGGTCATTATTATTCTAATAAATTATTGAGACAAATTATTCTATTCGCTCACCAGCCGGTGAGGTACAAATCAACCAGGCATCAAAACCATGGTTTGTTGCAACGGGTTAGAAGTTAAGCCTACATCTCAATCAGGGTTGACAAAAAAACAACAACCCAGAGTCCGGGATCATACTTTGCCCCCATTCCCACAACCCATGGAGTCAAACTCTGCATCATTTTAGCAAAACACCAGAATTCCACAGGATGCCATCATGGCTTGTGCCCGACAGCTAGAGTATAGGCACCAGTTTCTGGTTGGTTGAGTTATTGGCCAGTTTTGCAAACTTGGGTAAAGCCAGACTTGCGAACAAAAGCCGCCTAGGATCATGGCTTGTAGGGCCCTAGATGTCCAGGATGCCATCGCGGCTCGTACCTCACAGTTGGCATTTAGACACTGGTTTGTGGCAGGTTGAGTCATTGGTCAGCTCTGCAAATTGGGGACGACATTTGGGTTCGTCAACAAGCCACAAAAGACAGTGACTTGCAGGGCTATAGGACTCCAGCATGGCTTATACCTTTAAGCCATGGTTTGTAGAGTATGGAGTCCTTGGCCGGATTTGCAAATTAGGATCACAGCTGGCTTGCAAAGAGAAGCCCTGAAAGATCACGGTTTACAGCACCAGGATACCATTTTGGCGTGCACTGGCCATCTAAAATCATAGTTTGTGGCGGATCGAGTCATTGGCCAGCTCTCTAACTAGGATCAAAGCCAGCTTGCAAACGGAACCCATAAAAGATCGTGGTTTACAGAACCCCATCTTGGCTTGTGCCTGCCCCCCTACGGTCTAAACTAAACCATGGCTTGTGGCGGATTGAACTCTTGGGCCATGGATGGAGGCACCCGCAAGGATGCTACGCACCTGGGTACCAGCCCCGGGCCGGGGATGCAGGCGATGGCGGCGATTGGCCGCGCTGGCCGCCGGTCACTAGGAGGCGCTCCCAAGGTCGGCCAATGGCGGCCCAGGGCTATTTGCATGCGGGCGATTGACGGCGCTGGCGGGCCAATGCGGGGCGCCGGCGGGCGGGCTCTCCTCGCACGAGGGCGAACATGGTGTGAGACCGGACAGCCGCTCTGCTCGTGCCGCCGCCGCCGCAGGTGAGCGCTTGGGGGCCTGGGGGGGGGACGTGCATGGGAGGGGTCCTTCCTTGGGGGGCGCACCTCCTTCTGGGAGCGGTCTGGGGCTGCATTGGGCCTCCAGAATATGGGGGGGGGGAGCAGAGGTGAGGAGGGGGCTGCAAGAGGGTCATTGCAGCAAGATGCAAAACCCTAGGAGGGGGGGCGCAAAACACCCCCCCCCCCCCCCCCCCCCCCTTTGCCAAAGCCCGGGGGGGGGGGGGCCCCCCCCCCCCCCCCCCCCGCTGCATTGCTTGCCACCACTGCAGCAGCAGCAGCAGCTTGGTGCAAGATGCATGCATGTATTCAGGAAGCAGCTGGCCCTCTCTTCTCCCCCCCCCAAACTCCCCCTTTGCAGGTTTGCAAAAAGCAGGAACTGCGAGACCAGGAAAAGGGGGCGCACTGCAGAGGGGAAACCTCCCCCCCTTGCTAGGGAGGGTGTTGGGGGGAGGTCTCAGCTGGCCCACCATCAGTGGGAAAGGGTGCAAAATGCAGGAGGGGGAGGCCTAGCCCCCTTTAGCTGCCCGCTGGCGGAAGAGGGTGGGCGGGGAGACCCTCCCCATCAATGCAAAGAGGGATATATTTCAAACTGGGGGAAGGGGGGCGCCCTGCAGATTTGACAGCTGCTTGACAGCGACAGGAAACAAGTCAATATGTCAGTGTTCCCCAATGCTGAATTTTATTGCAAAGCGGGGCTGATTGTGGTGGTTGCAGGCCATAGGGAGGAGGAAGAAGGGGGAGGGGGCTCGGTGGGGACTTCCAAGGCGGATATTGGTGCAAAACGGGGGGGGGGGTGGAGGAAGTTGAGCGTGCCCGCCTTCTCCATCGGCTGGTTGTGCGGTTGTGTCTTTTGGCAACAGCGGTGTCAAAAAGGAAGAAGGAAGGCAGGATTTGCGCTGGTGAGAAACATGGGGTGGGGGCTCTTTCCTGTGCGATCGCACACTTGGGGGTGTGCACACGCTTGTGCAAGCGAGCCAAATCCCCCTTGTCTTCTCCTCCCCCCCCCCCCCCCCCGTGGGGAAAATGGGATGTTTTGCTAACCATATAGCGCTTAGACTGATATCCTCCTCACTCCAACTGGGGCAGAGACACCCCTTTTATTTTGGAGGGGGGGCAGATATTGGATGAGAGAAATGCAGTGGGGGGGGGGTTGGTCCCCCACCCCCACCATCTGGGGCTGATCTCATCTCTGGATGCCACTGCAAGTCATTCTTGGTTCAGGTCCAGCTTTTTTTTTTCTTTTTTGCTGCATCCGAACCTTCACCAAATTTTACTTGTCCCCCCCCCCACCCCCCCCCCCCCCAATAATCCTTTTTAACTGCCCCCCCCCCTTGTGTAAAATCAGTAATTTTGGGTCCCTGCCCCAGAGAGTTTGCAATCTCCACCCCCTCCTTGGAGGAAAAGCCTTTATAAAGCGGTGTGCCGGTCGTAATTTGTATAACAAGGATTTTTGTGTGTGTGTGTGTGTATGTATATTTATATGTATGTATGTATGTATATGTGTGTGTTGGCACGAATTCCCAGCAGAGTGATAATGGCTGCAATTAATAAATTTCTCTAAAGGATCGCTCTGCAGACAATTAAAAGCCAGCTCCCATTGTTCCTCTATATCAAAATGGAATAATTCAAAAATAAATAGAATATTGGAGCTTTTTTCCAAAGGAGAAATTCAGCACCGTTTTAACACTTGCCTCAATACCAGCGTTCCTTGACTTACGACCACAGTGGCGTCTCATATTTACGTTGCCGAGTGTTGTTATAAGTGAGTTTTGCCCCGTTTTGCGATCATCCTCTCCCCGGTGGGTAAGTGAATCGGAGCAGTTGGTTCAGTTAGTCAAACGGTCATTAAGTGAATCTGGCCTCCCTATGGACTTGGCTGGTTGCAAAAGGAACGCTGCGAATGTCATAACTGTGAGTCGGATGCCAAGCGTCCGAATTTTGATCACGGGATTGTAGAGAGGCTGTAACGGTCGTAGGTGTGAAAAATGGTCCACATCTCCCTTTTTTCGGTGCCATTGTAACTTCGGACAGTCACGAAATGAATCGTAAGTCAAGGACCTCCTGCATTGCTTCGCCTGGCTGTCTAAAGTGAGTAATGGTGGTCTCCAGGAGATGATCAGCAAAAGGCCCACCTGTACAGGTAACCCTCTGTTACACCTGTCCCCAAAATACAGACTTAGGACTCAAATTTGAAATTCTGGTGGTCGGGCTTTCCTTGTGGTCCCCTTTCCCCTCCATTTTATTCATTC